GGAGAGTGGTCGCGGAACCGGGGTTGATTGGCCGTGGAAGGGCAGAGTCGAAGCCCCGAAACACCTGGATATGTTCGCGTTGCGTAGCAAATAGGACAGACGAGGGAACATGAAATGAATATTTATACTGTAACAGGTAGAATCTGTTCTCTCGTATCAATGGATAAAAATGAAGAAGTTGTTGTGGTGACATGAATAAATTCTGGCAGTCTTGCACCTTGTGCAGTGTGTAACGAACACCAGACATAATTCCTTCCTAGGGTAAATGTCAACCGGCTACGCCAACGCAACGAATAGCTTGCTTACGCGGTGGCAGTAACCTCGCTTTGTTTGTACACTGTAGCGGAGGAGGCAGAGAGTAGTCTACACCGCAAAACCATCAACGACGGGTGGGTGTGATAGCAAAATATTCTCGAAGAGGTGGCACGAAGAATTGAATACATTCGGCTCGAAATTTGGCGCGTAAACAATCAAGGCAGAGACTCTCGGCGTGCTGTGTGTGTGCACAGCGGCAGTACGACAGCTCGCTCTGTTGATTAACACACGGTATGACCATATGAAGGCTGGCACGAGGCGGGGACAGACTGTGTGGAACCGTGACGCCGCTACTTTGCGTACGTCGTATGCTGCATGGTAATCGCGTTGCCGGGGTGGGTATCTTGTTTAACTGCAAAAAAGAAGCAAGTGATTCTGTTGCTGCCAAAGCAAATGCTGGGTACAAAAGGTCCATGCGTGTGAATGTGGAAAAAAGTCAACCAACACCTGACCTGTACAGGACGAGACAGGACGAGGCGAGTGGTTAGGGGAGCATCACGACTGCATGGCAATGGTGGTCGGTGAGTCAAGTTGATTGAGTGGAAGGGCATTGCCGGGTGATAGGGACAGTCTCTTGAAGAAAAGACGTGAGCGGGTGTACGCGCGCGCGAAGAGAGAGGGCCGGTCTGCATGCCATCCTGTGTTGGCCCGAGCTTCATCTTGGAGAAAAGGCAGCATTCTATCACGCGTGAACGCTCGCGGAGCAAATGCGTGCCTCACTTATGATGTGTGCATACAGTCCTTTTTCTGTTTCTCATTGGGAGCGACTCTAAGATGGTCGCCCTGAGCTACGCTAGCGTGGATATCTCTGGCCAACTTTTTTGGCGCGAAACATTTTGGCGCGAAATGTGTCTACATCATGTCTTCATGTGTCTTGCATCGGAAATCAACGCGCCCGGTCTCTCACACATGTGTGCGCGTGCTCGCCATCATCTTCTCGCACTGCGCCACGCAGTGCTGCGGTTGGCCAGGGCGGTCGTACGTGCAGATGTCGTTGATGTCCGGTGAGGTTGCTGAGATGGGATAGGAGGCCAAAGCTGACGCGCACTTGGGCCTGGACTCTGATGCCGCGAGAGTGGGAAAGAAGCAACGGCAGGCGCGGTGTGCTGAGAGAGGAAGCAGCTGGATGCCGTGCTGGGCCATGGGTGGGTGGGCTGGGTACACACAGGTTGTGTGATGAAGTGCAGGGACGATGGCGATGGTGAGTGCTGATGGAGAGGAGGAGAGAGTGAGAGTGAGAGTGAGGGGGAGGGGGAGGAGGTGTGCGCGCGGGTTGGACTGAAAAGTAAAAAAAAAAGCCGTTGGCTTTTTTTTGGGCGGGAATATCGATGTGACCGCGTCAAACTTGTCAGCGGAGGGGGAATCCTTGAGATGTTCTTCGGAGATGCGGTGTGGATCCGAGTTGTCTGTGGGATAAATCTCAACCTCAATGCTGCTCTCGCCTCTACGCGTAAACATGAGCGGGGGAGGGCAAGGATGTGACTCCCAATCTTCGACTCTAAATTTTCGAGCGCTTACTACTATGCGCAATCATTTCACTCACCGCTCCACACCACCGTTGCGTGGGTAGGGTGTATGCATAGTGCGAGCTTGAAATCCTTTACCTGTTCTCTCTTGGTCTCACACATGTGTTCACCAACCGTAGATAGGCAGTACATTTTCATTATTTTCTCCAACACGTAGATAGGCAGTACATGTCACTGCCGGCGAAGGAGGGACCGGCCGGTAGCGTGCTTGTCAGGTGTAGCGGACTGCGTTACATATCATGATGCACACCCAAGCAGCTTGTCTGCGTGTGAACAGCAGACCACGTGGTGCCTATCTCTACAAGCAAATAATGACCGAGAAGTGAGCGAGAAAGAGAGCGACGTAATATTGACCACGGCGGATTATGAGCCGCGCCTCGCCACACGAGGCTTGGTGAGCCGGAAGTCGGGCGTCCCCATGTTTATTGTCTTTCTTGAGGCGGACGCTGTCGTAAGAGACATGCAATGTTGATAATCCTGGTTGCCGGCAAACAGAAACACCGGGCAAGCCCTCGATCACGGACAACGTCCGAAAAGCATCCGGGGTCGCTCGCTTGCACATGAGCTACAGCAGTCAGCCCTCATTGCTTCGATCTCCTGCTCATCTTCAAGCCACATCTCGAAGAAACAAGCACATTGACGTGACATGGGATGCATCACATTTTTCCGAGCCTCCCGATGGGGATACACGAAAACAAAGCACACGATAAGAGCACAATATATTGGGAAAATAGAGGGTCCAACGTTTTTTGCATCTGATACAACTGGTCCTAGCTGCATGAACGTGGAGATCTACACCTAAGAAACAAACGCTCACGCTGCCCGGCGACTTTCCATCACTAAAACCAAGCGTGGGAAGCTATCCAATGAGCTGCAAAAATCCCGCCCGCAGTCGTGCTACACAGCAGTTTTAACCCCAAGCGACATACGTATATCACTGCGCGCCATCAACAAAAAGCAGTTCATCTTGCCTCCCCCCCAACCCCAGGCCTGCAATCCTCCTCCCCAACGACGCCCTTCTCAGCGCGCCCTCTTCCGGTGTCGTCCTTCTACAACGCTAAAGCAGTAGCGATCTTCCACAACAGTGGATCACGTGCAATACATCTCAACGCGGCACGGAGGGTATGATCCAGTCTATTGTAGACTTGTGGTCCAATCTTGTACTCGGCTTCCTTCCTCGCCCTGCTGTGCGTCACCTACAGCAGTACGTTTACTGCCCCGAGAACGATGACCAAGCGCCGGAGGAACCGAGGGCGGGGGAGAGGAAGAGGTTAACTGCCACGCAACATTTCTGCCTGAGATTGAGTGCAACTCTACAGCAGAAATGTAGGTGGGGAGGGAGGGCCTGGTGCACAGGACCAACAGATTACGAATGAGAGGCACCCGATGCTGTTGCAACCGTTGCAATGTTGCTACTGCTGTAGGATTGATTGTGGAGGCTACAACTTTTCCCCGACGGATGGCAAGCCACAATGCTGCCTACCTACATGCCGTCAACGATTCTACTCTGGTATTTCGTCCGCCTGCCGTAGACATATCGTCCGTCTACTGCTATTGCTAGTTTCGTGAGGGAGAACGGAGTCCTGCTGCCGACATGCTGCAAGAGCAAGAACGCGGTGAAACATGAGTTGTCGCCTGCAGCCTGCCGAAACCAGCGAGGACAAGTTTGCTTAAAACGCCTCCAACACTGCTGTACGGTTGGTCACATCCAGCGAGCACACCTGGGGGTATAGATGATATTGAGTTTATCTTGCCCTACCCACGGCGCTGCATGCTTTAAATGACACCTGCTGCCTCACGCGTGCCCTTTTTCAGCACCTGCGATCGGCTCCCGCCCCACTGCGCGACCCGGGGAAAAAATCATATTTCATCCTCGCAATGTCGACTTCGCCGTAAGGTAGAGTCCGGATCACCAGCCCCCCCAACAACCTACACTTCATCAGGTTATATCAGCAGCTCACCATGTTCGCTGCTGAGGCACTCCTTCCTGCTGGAGCGCTCCAAGCTCCTGCTATCCGCTGTCGTGCTCGGTCATCGTGCTCGGTCCTGATTCAAAAATCTGCAAAAATCGCTTCGTAGATCACGTGAAAAGCACGGGCGAGCACGGAGGCGAACGGCAGGGGAACAGGCTGCGCAAGCTGGTTGTCAGCACACCTGAGCAAGGTGGTTGCGTGGATTCTATGAGACCAGCACATTGCAGTCAGTCTTTGTGGAGTATCTCCTCTCTGCTGCACCCGTGTATCTCGTTAGCGATCCTTCAATCCTGTGCGGTGCTCGCTGGCACGTCTCGCTGGCTCTCGTGTTTCTGGGTCGCATGTGTTGATCCATTTCAACAATCTACTCACGATGCTGCTACTGGCGCCTTCATCTGGAGACATCAAGGCCCCCAGTCCGACCCACGACGACTCAGGTAGTTGGTAAGGGTGTTAGCATGATAGGCTGTTGTGGAGAGCAGCATGGCGACCTCTTCGAGGTCTTGATTTGACGGAGTGCAGAAGGAGGCTGCTGCCTTTCACAACCGGAGATCGCCATGATCTCCGAAATTGCGATCAGGGAGTTCCAGGATGTGGCTCACGGAAGGGGCTTAGGATATTTCCGTTCACAATTAGATTGTCAGCTCCCCGCTCCAGCCGTTCCCTCTCTCTCTCTCTCTTGTGGAGAGTGATGGGCGCCCAAGGCGCTAGACGCGTCATCATGTCTTGGTGTGTCTCGCTTTTGCGCCACCTCCTCGCCAACCGGTCGATGCTATCGCGGTTGTCATCGACACACGATATTCTTCTGGGGATATTTTCATTTTTCCCCACTCTGGGTTACGTTTGGTAGACGGCCGAGGAGTGAACCGATGCTACGAATCGGTGGGGGGTATGCGTTCCAACACCACATCCAACTCGGTTTTGGCAAAACCCGAAGAACTTTCGGGTTGGCAGCACATGCACGTACGTGATGACCGACTGCCGCCCACAAAAAAAAGAAAAAAAGCGTTACCGGAAAGAAAAAGCGGGAGCGGAGGTGGCAGCTGGTTCAAAAAATGTGTATGGACAACGAACGGACCCTTCTCTGATTGGGTTCAACACAATTATTCGGAGAGCCCCTTGCCAGCTCGGGTTGTGGTGGCCGTTACTTTCCAGCAAGGCCTACGAGGGAGGGGGGGGCAGTNGGTATGCGTTCCAACACCACATCCAACTCGGTTTTGGCAAAACCCGAAGAACTTTCGGGTTGGCAGCACATGCACGTACGTGATGACCGACTGCCGCCCACAAAAAAAAGAAAAAAAGCGTTACCGGAAAGAAAAAGCGGGAGCGGAGGTGGCAGCTGGTTCAAAAAATGTGTATGGACAACGAACGGACCCTTCTCTGATTGGGTTCAACACAATTATTCGGAGAGCCCCTTGCCAGCTCGGGTTGTGGTGGCCGTTACTTTCCAGCAAGGCCTACGAGGGAGGGGGGGGCAGTTTCAAGTCCGGCACCTCTTCTTGAAGTCACCGTTGTCAAGACAAGTGAATAGGTGCAGGTACACAATACCAACAAAACTGAAGCTGGTACACCCCCCCACGTACCGTGACAAAGACAAAGTACAACGTGAAAAAACGAAAATTTGTACTGTACTTCGAAGTACGAAGTAGGAAAAACTGGAGCACATTTGTACAATTGACGCATGCTTACGTGCTTGCTTGCCTTCACTCAAGGATGCAGGAAAACCCGAGGCACGGCAAAACTTCAACGCGGGAATGCTAAAACAAAGTTACGCAAGCCTAGCATCTGAACAGAAAACGTCCAGACGCCCTCTAATGTCAGAAATCTTTACGTCGATCCCGCCCTGTACAAAAAAAATAAATAAACGCTAAACGGGCTGGGAAACAGCTTCCCAGATCTCGGTCAGGGCCTCCCACTTGCAGCAACAAGGGACGCGTTGACCCCCGTATCAGCCGAGGTACACCCTCCCACTCTTTTGTACACCGACAGAGCCGCGCACGTACATACCTCCTGATCGTCCCATTCTACACTACAAGAACAGACAGGCAACCGTGGGGTTTTCTCCATCCCGACACAACGTCTAACTCAACAAAAAACAGACATGAAAAGTGGCACCACGGTTTCAGAGCCCCTCCCCCGTCCTCCCCCGCTGCTGCTCAATGAAGTGAAGCGGTCCGCTCGAGCGCATGCCTCGACTTGTCCAAAGCGACGGCCGCCACCGCGCTAGCCGGCTCCTTCACAGCTTGCGCCGTCGCGTAGTGGACCATGAACGCCCCGATCGCGGCGCTGGCCAGAGGAAGAGCGATCTCAGGGGGCTCCGCCACACCCGCGCGCCGGCCGTTCGCGAGGGTGTTCACGACACCCGGAACCGAGGCCGGGGCCACGTCTGATACTGGCGCTGCCGGGGTCGACGTTGCAGAAGCCGCAGGATTCGCGGAGGAAGACTCGATCGCCGCTGTCTCGCTCTCGGATGGCTGCTGTTGCTGCCGCTGGCCGTCTTTCGAGGCGAGGTCAGAGCCAGGCATGGAAGTGATTTCGGCGTCGAAGTCGAGGTCGAAGAAGCTCTCGTTGATGGCGTCCTCGCCAGTGCTGCCAACGGCGCGAGGCTTTTCGCCATCCTCGCTGGACGCCACGTCAATCAGCTCAAGGGGGCCCAGGGACCCACCGCCGCCCATCGAACCGACGCTCATGTTGTCGAGGTCCCGCAAGAACGAAGAGTCGCGGCAAAGAGCTCCGCCGCCGATGATAAGTCCGTCACAGTCACCCGCGCCAGCCGTGGGATCACCGCCCGTCCCCATAGAGAACTGGTATACCGGTCCCTCCGACAGCTCAGGTTTGACCCGCACAGCAACGGCGTCATTCTCCCCGCCCTCGCCGCTGCCGCACACGGCCGTCGGCCCTGCGGTCGCCTCCATCTTGACGCGAGGGGGTCCCGCCGCGACCCCGACAACGGCGCCGCTCTCGGACTCGTTCGCGCCTGCCATCCCGTCCCACTCCCCGGCCAGGCGGCGCTTCTTTGCCCAGCCTGCGGTAGGCGGGATCTCGTGCTTGACGTCAACGCCCGCGCCGCTGGCCGAGCGCTCCTCCAGGAGTCGGTCCACCATGCGCGAGAGCGCGTCGATGCGGCCGTCCATGTCGACGACCTGCAGCCGCAAGCTCCCCACCTCCGATCGCAGGTCATCCACCTCTTGCTTTTCCGGCGTGACGCCGTAGTGGGTGGCGCGGCGGATCTCTGACAGGAGATTGGGCTTGTCGCGAAGGAACAAGTCGTGCTGTGGATTTAAAGCAGAAGGACGGATTTAGGACAGGGGCGTGCCCGCGCAAGGCAAGGTCTTGAGGTTTGAGGTGAACGAGCTTTACTACGCGGTGCGTGTATGCGACCACAGCAGCAGTACTTTACGGCGGGCACTGGAGTCTGTGACGGATGGTTCCCATGGGCCATCTTGATCAAAACGCAGCACCAGATAGTTCCGACACAACGCACGCTACACACTTCCAAGACGGCGTGATTCAAGAGACATGATCGTCACCGTGGCGAGGGAATGAATGTTTGGCCCTACTTGTGAAAAACAATTTAGTGTATGGGCTAAATAAGACCCTACATATGAGTCCAGTATCCAGTCAATTTTCTTCACACTCACTGCTGTCAATACTTCCACGCACAAGGCCTTCGACTGCTGTGGCATATCTCCAAGGAAAACAGCAGCAGTCTCGCTTTGACTGCATGTTTTTCTCTGAAACCACAGCAGTCGTTCAATGCCACTGCTTGCTCGTGTCGTTGACGTAAACAACAAAAAAGTACCATACGTGGCCAACAGCTTCAGCACATCCGCGAACGCGAAACACGAATGGCAGACGGAAATCGGGGGGATGGGGGAAGACTCTTGGATGGCACATGCATACACATCACATACGTACATCGATACGATAACGGAGAGACACCGCGCAGTTTCCACCACTCCAAAGTACTGTGCTGAAATCTTCAGTGGTAGATGGTTGTTCATGAATTTGGGCTCGTACTCCTGTCCAACCCGTCGCATTCTAACTTGTCTTGTTGCCGCACACTATATACACCGCCCTCGTTTACCGAGATTAGCATTTCATGTGTGGTGAGATGGTGCTCTATGAGCTGCAGCTGTGGGAACAGACACACCATCCTCTTTCTCTGGGCTGATGACTCACGGACCTTGAATTCCCACCACTTGCTGTCCTGCCCATCCACAGTAATGTTGGATTTGACCTTGCGGAAGCCGTAAAAGTTAAGTTGCCTGACGAAGGAGCTGAACTTGTTGTCTGCGCAGACACATGGATCGGAGCACACGAACGCAGAGCAGTTGGGTTGTTATTGCGTCCGTGCTTCAGTTTCTTCCCGAATAAAGGCCGCACTGCGGTGTGCTGACTGTACGGAACAGAAAAACATGAGTGCAAAAGAAAAATATCACTGCGCGCCAGGTGGCGCCCTCGTGTGGGGATGTGGGAATGCATTTACAGAAGGGTGTAAAACAAAACGAATCTTACTTTGTGCTAGACAATCTCGCTCCCGATATAAACAAGTCTGCCCGACATTACGATAGCATTTGAGATGACAGTGCAAGCGTGAGTACATCGGCCATCAGATTAACTCGACAACTGACTTCTGCGCGTGCGCTGTAAAACCAGGTCGGCACGTAGTACGATCCGATAACGGCTACAAGTAGATTCCGGGTTATTTCGCCGTGTGTCTTCAACGGGAAGTAGCGTGGCAAGTGGGGAAAATGCGGAGAAAGGCCCGCCCGCAGCTGGAAGGGAGGCAGCAGCAGCAGCAGCAGCAGGCAACAGGTAGCCAGTGGCAGCAGAGATGTAACACTATGCGCACGCTATCCTCGTGCACACAAACCGTTGCCTGCTGTAGCAACGCGAATCGACACACACAACACTTGCTCACGTTTGAAGAACCGTGGGATAACCTCATTGGCGAACGTGTCTGGGTCTTTGATCACGAAGGTGTCGCCCGCAGCAGTCCAGGCCGCGTGCACGTCCTCGCAGGTGTTGATCATCTCATACGTCTTGCGAAGGAAAATGGGCTCATCCTTCACGTCCTTCCGTCGCCGGGGCTGCGCCCGCATCGTGTAAGATCCGTCAGCCGGCATCGTGTCCCCCTTTTGTCCGTGTGCTCGTTTGCTCTTGTTGCTCTTCGTGCTGCTTGCTGTCCGTCTGCTAAGGAGAGCTTGACTTCTACAAGTTCCTAGCTTGATGAAACAAGGCCGGTGCTAAGCGAGGTGCTCTTCACGAAACAGCTGTCTGTGTGCTGAACTCGTCGCAGGTTCTGCTGTGTGTGGCACGATTATGTCTGTCCGAGGTGTCCTGACCAGAGGCTGAGAGCGTTGTGCGTTGTCGTGTGGCGCCTTCTGTTTGGGTGAACGGAGAAGGGGGAACGGGCGCCTACGCATCTGATTGGTTGAAGAAAACGCAGAAAAGTGCAGCGCGCCCTAGAGAACGCCTTCCATCTCCACCCGGGCGTGTCCTTCATCCTCCCCCGTCCGTCCGTTCCTGGTCATGCTCGGTCGTTCTCCGTGTTCCTTGTCTGGGGCGTGTGCCTGTATACTCTTGTACTGCTATCGCACATCCCTACTGATTGTAGCCAATGCCGTAGGAGCAGTTGCTGAGCAGGGGGACGAAGCACTTTGATAACGTATCGTTGGCGCGTGTGCCAGGTACAGCAGTGAGAACGAATATGCCCGACATAGACAAAGAATTGGCGGACAGATTAGGCAGGCTTCAGGGACTGTCCACAAGCAGTAGTTCAGGAGGCCATAGCACCGGCGTCGGGCTTCAAGAACGCCTGGACGCTTTATCTGTGCACTGTCCAGAAGGTGCAGAGGAGGAGTTCAACAACCGATTAGCTTCGCTTTCAGCAGCAAGAGACACGCCATCCTCCGCGGAGAATCTCAACACACGGCTCTCTAGGTTAGCGACCGGGAGCGATTCCGGGTCCAAGTCAGCTATGGCTGCTCCTGGGAAACGGCAGTACGATGTACCAGAGGTGGGTAGCGCTGATTATCTCTATGTCTCTTTGGATGTCTGCCAAACACCCTTCGCAGCAGTTGTGTTGCACTATTTGTTGGAGCTTTTTATGTAGCCGATGTACTGCTGTAGGACTGCTGCTGTGCATCCAATGGATGTTGAACCGCTGGTCTTCGCAACCCTACAGATTCTTGAGTGGCAAGCCTTTTATGTCGAGATTGAAGCGCGAGATGTTTCCTGCTCGGCCTGCCAATGACACCCCATTCTCAACCTCGCAAAACACGAATACGACACATTCAGGACTTTTCCGTCGAATGGGAAGACCTGGATGATTTGTTGGCAAACGCGCTTGAGGGAAGCGAAGGTTCGCCTTCAACTGGCGAGCCATCGCTACTGGGGGAGTCCGATGTCGACCGGAAGCTCAGCGAGCTCGATGTGCTGCTGAGAGCCGAAGCTTCTCGAGTAACACTCGGCGGCAGCGCCCCAACCGAACACGCCGCGGCGACGGTCGACCAAGCGGTGGAGGCATTTCTTGGAGGAGGAGGAGCGGGTGGGGATGGGGCCGGGCGGGGAGACCAGGGCATGAGAGGCGGTTCACTAAACGTTGAGGAAGAGCGTCTACTGCAGATGGTGAGTTGAAGCAGGCAATGGCGGGCCAATCAGTCTGCACCGCACATCTGAGAGAACCTTGCTGACTTATGTACGTAAGGCCTCTACCTGTGTTCATGGTGGGACTGTGGGGCTATGCACACGTGTTATTTGGGTCAACAACCGCCAAACACCTTTCTTTGAGCCTCTCCATTTTGTCAATAGGCGCTACACGCCGTTGTTTTGGCCCCCCATGGATGATCGCACCACGTTGTGTTAAAACGTTCAAGCACCCTCGAGGCAGTTACACAGTGCTTACAAGTGTTTCTGGAAGTGAAAGCACCAGAAAATAAATTAAATCATACGCAGCTGTCATCCGTATGCAAGGAAGTGAGCACAAGATGCCGAACACCCTTAACAGGATGCAGCGCACCCTTCATGCGACTCGCCGAATACCTCACGGCGCTTCGCGCTTGGTGATGTGAGAGCCTGGTCCGGTGAGGATCCGGCGTGCTCCGTCCCGGCTTTGTAGGGATGCGAGGTCAATTGTCAAACGACTACGGCATGCACGGCTATGAGTACATGCCTCAAAAGTGGAGCTTTCAGCTTTGCCTCTTTTCTGAGTTGTGGGCAACCGAGTTCCCCGTATCATGAAGTACACCCCGCGTGCAGTTGAATTTTTTTGGCACAGTTTCACGGTTGCATCCTGCTCGTTCGTTCCCGGTGTGATGACCCAAGAGTCATCATGGATGATGCCTACGATTTTCGAATACTCTCCTCTTTCAAATTTTTCAAGTGCTGCTTACGAGCTGCGTACAACCTGAAGTTTTGGTCGACCCCTCCTTGCGCGGGGGAATGCCGTCATATGTCCCATCTGTTCCACGTGTGCATGACACCTCCAGTCGGGCAACAGCTCCTCCCGCAAATCAATGGCAGAGAGATCTGCCTGTGGCACTACTGGCTCTCCACGCAACTGATTTCCGACTGCTTGCATATAGGTGTCCGACCAAGTACTGCTCGAGGGTGGCGGCCTAATCAAACAAGCATCCGCGCCAGTGCAGGAGAAACCGGGAGAGATGTGGCTCCCCGTCGCCCCCACAGGCCGACCAGAAATTTCTTCTCCTGCCGCCGGCGCAAACGTCGGCGCCGGATCAGCAGACGCAAGACTCATCGCGCAGCAGGCGATGGATGAAGCACGTTTAGGCCTTACCAGCACCAGCGACGGGTACAAACCGGCGTCCGAGAATGGAAAAAGTGTGTCACATCGAGATGGGTGGCAGGCGGCGGCGTGTCCGAAGGATGAAGCGTTGTCATCCTCGTGGTGCTGCATTTGCAGTGAGGACGCGAGCTTGAGGTGCAGGCCCTGCGAACGGGAAAACGGTCAGGACGAACCGGAACTCTTTTGCGCGCGGTGCTTCAAGGAAACCCACAGAGGGGACTCCGAGATGGAGGTGCACCAACCGCAGGCGTTGTCGAGGGCAAGGCAACAGGAGGAGGACGGGAGAAAAGGCCGTCGAACCTGGCGGCGCCGGAAGTAATTGTGTGTTCGTGTGATCGTTTGTGATGGCAGAAAAAGGGGATGAATGAAAATATGGCTACTAGAGTGTGCGTTTGGTGTCGGTCCCTTTGTTCGAGCCTGGCGGTGGAACCTGGCGGCGACGGAAGTAGATTGGGTGTGTGCGATCGTGGTGGTTTGTAATGGCAGATGTGCGGCATGACTGAATAATGTGCATTTGGTGTCGGTCCTTTTGTTCGAGCCTGGCGGTGGAACCTGGCGGCGACGGAAGCAGATTGGGTGTGTGCGATCGTGGCGGTTTGTGATGGCAGATTTGTGGCATGACTGAATAATGTCTACGAGAGAGTGTTTTTTGTCGGTCTCTTTCTTGCAGCGTCTACCGTTATGTCGGTGGAACCTGGCGGCGAAGTACATTAGATGTTTGTGTCATCGTTGTGATTGTGATGGCAGATGTACGGGATGAAAGAAGAAATGGATCCTATAAGAGTGCGCTTGTGTTTTTGTTTGTCTTGTTTTTGGAGCGTCTACAGTGATGTCGGTGGAAACGCCTCCGCAACCGATTGCTTGCGTCGTATGTCTTTGCCTCTCATAGCGGCAAGATTCGAACGCCTTTGTACGTTATGGCACCACACAGACGAGAAACTGAATCTTTCAAGTGAAACTGCCGTCCCAGACACGCATATCGTCAACCACGGAACGAATCTCGGCCCTGTCGGTGTGGGCGAACACGGATCAAATCGTACATAGGACCAAGAGGCATAGCTTGGGCATGAATGCAGCTGTACTCACAATGATCATCCGATGTGGGACTACAATCCCGGAATTGTATCAGAAAACGCGTGACAAAGAAAACTGTATGCCCAAAGCTTCACGACGTGCGCTCTACTATAGCCAAAATACACAAGTCATCTGCCACACTCGCCTGCACGCGCCAAACTTACAAAAACATATCCTCTCAACAACTGTTTTGGCAACCAAAACGGCATGTGCTGTCGTCCAAACACAACAACGAGCGGTACCCTGGATCCGCTTGCCCCCACATGCAACGGGAAAGCACAAAGTAACATCATCCGCCAGGCCACACCACGATGGGTGAAAAAAACTCTCTCGTATAAACCACGGTAAGGATCGCAGGGGGAAAGGTGGGGCAATAAAACAAACAAAACTATGAAAAACACTCCTGTGTAACCTTCCTCTTGTGTGACCCCGGCTGATACGTCAGATATATACGCCGAAAGGCCTCTAAACCGGCGCCAGGATAGATCAGACGACCACACACACAAACAAAACACACACCTCTCTGTCCAAATAAACGTGGAGTCACCCAGTGGAGTGTTCCCACGACATGCTCCCATTAACTGTTCCGACACAGGCGCCAGTGCTACCCTGTTCAGATAATCTGCACTCCAATCAGTGCTGCACGTGCTGAAATCCTATTCAACGCTACTGCTATAAATCATGGACTTTCCACTTGCCGTACTCACCCGCCTGTGCCTTCCCCCAATCAGATCGAAACACCCTCGCGAGAAGGTGGGTAAGTGCGGAACCAGCTGCGTATTGCAGCAGTACTGTACCCTGCCGCTAGCTCCCTGTCGACTCAAGCAGCTTACACATTCACAATACAAGCAAGATAACTTACAGATTATATTCCTGACAGCACTGAGAGCATTCTTGCAGGTGGCGGAATCTCTTCAACGCAGGGGTGGGGGGGGGGGGGGG